GAATACTGCTCAGGTAGCTCAGTTTTATTTATTCTGCAGGTAATGGTGATAAGAACAAAAAAAAAAAGGTCTAGCAAACTTTTGGGTCAATCTTTTGGTTTATCTGGAAATATGTTGAGATATTTGAATAAATATACACACCTCTTTTAGGATTTATTTTGCTGCATACACCCACAGCCTAAAAAAACCCCTTCTTTAAACAATCTCTACATATCTCAGTGTTGTTATCTGCACCCATTTGCTATGAGATGATTCTGTGGAGTAAATATGTTGATCTTTTGAACTTTTTACTTTTTCTCATTTTAGCACAAAGCCAAGGTAGAAGCAATCACCTTGGATCTTGCATCTCTTCAAAGTGTATGGGAATTTGCTGAAACCTTCAAATCCAAGAATCTGTAAGTACTTAGAAACAATTATTATTTTTTCTTATTACATTAGTAGAGTTTGTTTTGCTGTTGTTGAATCAACTGAACAAAGTTACCATAGATGGGAAGCTTTTGCAATATTCATCTCTGTCTCTTTTGCAATAATATGGTCTATATAGTTCAAATGAGATTTAAGAGCTAAGCAGTTTGTATACTTTTGTTTATTATTAAGAGGCACAATTTACAGAATCAGAGAATGATTGAGATTTATAAATTCACAGGCTATGAATGAGGTGGGTGGTACAGTATCTAAATTTGATAAATAAAATAAATACATTTCTTTGTTCTATCTTCCCTCTGTGCAACTCCAATAAATATATTGTTTTCAGACCAATAAATATGAATATAAACAACAGAAAGTGTGAATGCCATTGAGAGTTATGACAACTTGAAATGGGGAAAAATAGAGAAACCTATGAGGGTTAAAGGAAAGCAATGAATATGATGTATGTGACTAAGTGTTTTTGTCATAATGTATAGGCACACTCATATTAGGAATATACACGAAATGCAAAACGTCATTTTCTATTCTGAATTTGGATGGATTCCAATGGCAGACAGGATCGACTGATTGCCAGCAGCTACCCAACACATTTCAGAAAAAAATCATTCAAGGAAATAACATAGCAATCAGAGCACATGCTAGAATAGATGAGGAAGGCTGGGTTCTAGATTTAAGAGGTAGGAATACAGTAGGAAACTGTAGGAATACAGTTTCATTAATCTCTCTCCAAGCAAAAGCTCAAGAAGAAGCTATGATGAATGAAAAGCAATATTAAATATATTTCTTGGTTTGGATTGGTTGAGATGGGAATGGTCAAAGTAATAACTTTGGTATTCATGTCCTTTACTGGTAAATGATTCTCACAGCAAGAATGTTGAAGATATAAATATGCAGTTACCACTTTCAGCATGCATAAAAATTTGCAGCCAAGAGGATTCAACGGGAGATGCAGAAAAGGAGCATGTTGGTATGGAAGGAAGGAATCTGTTCTGTCTTGGCCTCCAATCTGCTGTTCAATTGCTGTCACCAGGTTAGAAAGGCCATGGCTGCTGAATTACAGTGAAAATTTAGTTCCTTGCCAATTGCTCAAGTCTCCAGATTGATCTTAAATTGTGTTTGCTCTTGGGCAGCCTCACCCATGATGCTTCCAGTACATAGAATAGCACTTAGCAATAGCACTTAGACTTATATATCACTACATACTGCTTAACAGCCCCCTTTAAGCTGTTTACAGAGTCAGCATATTGCCTCCAACAATCTGGGTTCTCATTTTACCCACCTCGGAAGGATGGAAGGCTGAGTCAACCTTAAGCCTGGTGAGAATCGAACTGCCAAATTGCAGCCAGCTGGCAGTCAGCAGAAGTAGCCTGCAATACTGCACACTAACCACTGTGGCACCATGGCTCATAGAAGATCCAGGTACTTATTAAAACTAACAAACAAATAAGATAAATTTTGCACAATTGGACTAGAACAAAGATGTAGATTGTGCAAAACTTTCTATACTCATATAAAGTGGAGTTTGATATTTCCCCAGGCTGGGAATTTTTTTTTAGGGGGGNTTTTGGATTTTTTGTGCAGCATTTTTGTGTACCTGAGGGTAGAACAAGAAGCAATGGGTGGAAACTAATCAAGGAGAGAAGCAACTTAGAACAAAGGAGAAATTTCCTGACAGTTAGAATAATTAATCAGTGGAACAGCTTGCCTCCAGAAGTTGTGAATGCCCCAACACTGGAAGTCTTTAAGAAGATGTTGGATTGCCATTTGTCTGAAATAGTATAGGGTTTCGGCCTAGGCAGGGGGTTGGACTAGAAGATCTCCAAGGTCCCTTCCAACTCTGCTATTGTAAGTGAATCACTGCAGTTGCTAAGGGAATCACACTGCTATTAAGCAAATCCAGCTTCTCCCATTACTTTATTTGTCAAAAGCCAACTGGGAAGATCGTAAATGTGATCATGGGACCCCAAGACAATGCAACTGTTATAAATGCATGACAGTTGCCAAGCGCCTGAATTTTGATCATGTGGGGATGCTGCAACGATCATAAGTGTAAAGACTGGTCATAAGCTGTTTTAACTTCAAATGGTTGCTAATTGAATTATTGTATGTCAAGGACTATTTATATCTTTAAGTTAAGAAATAATGGTCTAAAGCAATATGTAAACCGGCTAATGACTTGTTCAGTATGCTTAAGAAGAAAGACTTCATGTAGTGTAATAGATCAGTGTAATAAAACAATAAGTTAAATAGGTACCTTTGATATCAAGAGTGGTGTGTAGTAAATATAAATTGTGAAATTCATCTTTATTTTTTTATTTTAATTGTACTTTTATAGGATGAATAACCTGCAGTTTACAGATTAATGTAAGAAACATGAAAACAATAACTCTGTCCCACATTATAGGAATTTACAAATGTGGAAAACTAAGAAAAGTTGAGCGGAAAAGGATATTTCAAAAAGATTAGATTCATTTTTTAAAATGAAGTTTTTGGGATGGCATATAAAAATTCCACAGTACCTTAAACTTTTAAAATTAAAGACACTTGAACAAGATCCTTATTGTATAATTTTGTAATGTGAATATCAGTTATAATTTAGCATCTGCTGCCTTCATTAAAATAGTATAAAGAGCAGTTGAATGTCCACATTAGAAGCAGCTGTCCTGCCTACAACTCTGCTTGCAATACAGCCACACACACTAACCATGTTATCTACTTCTATTCAAAACGACTGAAGCTGTCAATTAAATTTGCTTTAATATATAATTGTATATGCTTTATCTCCTACCAAAATAACATCCAGAATGAAAATATGAAATATAACATTACAAAGAAAACATAGTAACATTTGTTAATGGAGATTGGCACCAACTCTACTTCAAAGCCAGTCACAGTCTATCTGCTTGACATGAATTGAGCTTACAGCCTACGCCCGTGATGGCCGACCCCTCTCTGCAGGAACGTGAGCCGTTGCGCCTCCCAGCTGATTTTCGGGTGTCTGCAGCACATGCGGGAGGCATCT